CTATAAACTTGGATTTTACAACTGGCATTCCATTTTAGCTGGAGAAAAACTTTGAACTAGGCCTCCAGTTTCATTATGCCGCAGCCCTGGCGAAAAGATGTGGGAGAGGAGCGGGGTGTGTGTGGGGGGGGGAGCAGGGGAGGAAGGGGGAGAGGTCGGAATGAGAGCGTGTGTGTGTGTGTGTGTGTGTGTGTGTGTTGTGTGCGGGGCAAGGGGGGGGCGGGACGGGGAAGGAAGCTGGAGAAAGGCTCAGCAAAGGCACCCTTATTTGTTTACTATTTACGGCGGAAGTCTTTTTCTATGGCCAGACGGTGGTCATTAAGGACACACAAAAAAAAAAGTAAGCTGTTTAGGGCTGCAGGCTTTATTGCAATGTCTAGACTAGTCGCCTCCTTTGTCCAGACAAAACGGCCGGCTGTGAAGGTACCTCGGCTGGACTTTGGGACTGGGGGAGATGGGCCTTATTGCACCTTGGCTGGAGTTTTCCTTAACCTTGGAAGGGTTTCGCCCGCCCACCAGCCGCTTTGGAAAAGGAAAAAGGGCACCTTGAAGTGGCGCGCCATTTTGTTTTCTCAGTTCCCAGGCTTTTTCTTTCTTTCTTTCTTTCTTTCTTTCTTTCTTTCTTTCTTTCTTTCTTTCTTTCTTTCTTTCTTTCTTTCTTTCTTTCCTTCTTTCTTTTTTTCTTTCTTTCCTTCTTTCTTTCTTTCTTTCCTTCTTTCTTTCCTTCTTTCCTTCTTTCCTTCTTTCCTTCTTTCTTTCCTTCTTTCTCTTTCTTTCTTTCTTTCTTTCCTTCTTTCCTTCCTTTTTTTTTTCTCCCTCACCTTCCAGTAGTACGCCTGCCCCCCCCTCACTTTTATAACCTGGACTTCATCAGCCTTTCAGTACGTTTTGGCTAGTTTGTGATACGATCCGTCCCCAAGACCTCTTTATATTAAACATATGCGCAGACTTTCTGAATCTTTCAAGAAGCTTGTTTTACTTTGGCGTTTGGGGCTTCAGACTCGCCTGGAAAGAAGCCGATCCCAAACAGAATAAATAGCGAGAGCCTTGGGAGTCAAAGCCATTCCCACCCAGCATTTCTGTGTGCAAAATAGAAGACAGGCAGGCAGGCAGACAGGCAGGCAGAGGCAGAGATATAGAGATATAGGCAATCCTTACCTCGCGTCATAGAAAACATTTCTGTCCAGATAATCCACCCTTTCTTCACGATGAAATTGGAAATGGATCTGACAAGCAAACTAAAGTTTCTCGCCCGCTTTAAACTTGAGCATATGCGTGTGGTTTTCCCCATAGCTGGATAAAACCCAAAAGGTCCATTCAAAGTATTTTAATTGAATATAATCTGTGTTAAAAAAGCCTATCAGCCCCGGCATGAGAAAACATATTTTGAGCTCAGCTGTCCCTTTATCCAAAGGCTGCATACTTTCAGGCATGAAGGGAAATTATATAAGGACTAGCCAAGGTTCAGTGCCAAATGTAGGGCTTACACGTTGAGAAATATTAGACTCCTTCCCTTCTTCCTCCCTCTCTCTCTCTCTCTCTCCCTCCCTCCCCACATCTGCACAATTAAAACATGCATAAAACCAGTTAGGCACTTTCTTCTTATTTATCTTGTACTGTTAGCAAATTGAGGCTCTCTGAGCAAGGGCGGGAAGGGGGGGGGACTTATTGACACGCAAACATAAAATTGCACTCCTGTCCCCACGTCCTGGGGTTGAACTTGTTTTGCTTAAGAGAAGGAATTAAGTACTTGACTTTGCATTTGCGCCTCGCGCAAGGGGAAGGGGGGGGGAGAAAGGAGGGGGCGAGGCGCTTTATCCTTGACGTTAGGAGAAATTCGACTTCTTTGTCGGGGCGGACAGAAATGCGCTCCTTAAGCATCGCCGTAATTGCGTGGGGGGGGGGGGGGAGAGAGAGAATATTGCACTATTGCTCATTAACCACCATTTCAGCATATTGCAATATATCATTCCTGGAGGGAATGGGGAGGAAAGAAACGGGGAAAAATCAAGAAACAAAAACATTACTACATGGGAGAAACAGACAAAGACATCTGGAGCCCAACATCGCAAGGGCCTGTATTATTGGGCCAAGAAACGTCTATAAATGTAAATGCAGTCAGGAAAAAACAATGAAGTCTACTACAAATGTCTAGTTAAACACAGAAGGTTCATATTAATGTGGAGTATATGCGCACTCCCATACAGGACGTTTCTCTATATACGTCCGCATTTGTATGTATGCAAACACACACACACACACACACACACACACACACGTGTATATATGGTGATTTATTTTGCACAAATCTTTCCCTGTCACACAGCTATCCACGACCTCATACAGCCCATGGACACCTTTCTGTTCTGGCATTGAAAGTCCTGCAGGAAAGTCCACACCACTCTGACTGCAGTTTGTCTTTTTAAGAGGGAAATACTAATAAAATGGTCAAATAAAATCATAATATAGAACAGCTTGAAATCTCTTTATTTGCCATAGAATTTCACAGAGTTGCCCTGGATTCAGTTCTTTACATACACCAAGATTTATTTATAACTGCGGTTTGCCGGTTGCTGGAGCTGTTCTTGTCCTTGTTCCTGTTTGCTGGTCTCTCATGTCCAGGAGAGGGAGGGAAATGCATTTACACACTATTTAAGAGACAGTTATTGCAAATTTATTGTAGTCCATTCCACTTCCTCCCGGTCCACCCCCACCCTCACCCTGACCCCAGATGAAGAAACGGGATGGAGGAGAAAACTCAACCCGGGGCTGCCTCCCTATGTATATATCACAGGTCTAGGAGGGAATCAATGGAACTTACACTATTATAGTGGTGCCAATTCTCGGAAAGGAGATTTAAATCTGTTTTCAAGCAGCAAGGGTCCTCAGCGTGTTTAGCAGTAGAACCCCCTATGAAGAGGCGTGTGCGGGCATGGTGGGACAGGGGGTCATCTAGGCATCTACACACATGCACGCTTACCTACACATTCACCATGCTCTCACACACCTACCCCCACACACCTATCCATGCAGACTCTGGGGTCTTCCTCCCAGCTGAAGGCTGAAATCTTTGGGTAGGGAACGTTTTAGAACTCATTAAACTCACTTTAGCACCAACAACCTGCATATCGGAAATCAGGACCACCACAAAGCATTTTCTGAACAGAGCTCTGTAGGTTTTTCAGAAGGATGGAGGAGATGAGGGGTTTGAAGGATGGTAATGAGAAAGGAGAACAATAATAATAATAATAACAACGATTCGGGTTCCCATTCTTCAGAAGGAAACATTCATTAGAAGTTCATACAAATGTTCAGTCTTCTTTCAAGATTTAGGGAAAGGTAGAAGGGACTATACAAGACTTCTTTTTTAAAAAATTGTCCCAAACAATTCCCCAAAATGCAAATCTAAGGAAGGAAAAAGATTTAAAAGTCAGGGGTTGTTTTCCAGGCTCCACTGTCAAGTCAAACCGTACTTGCCATATTCTTATCTTCTTCATACACAGAATACTTCAACGAGCAGAGGGCTTTTTTTTTTTTAATTTTTAATTTTTGTTTACAAAAGGGTAATAAAATAAAAGAAAGTTCACAATAAGGGATTTCCCGAGAAATACTGCAGGCGGTCTCTGCTGAGTTTTTTTTCTTTCATCCTTCTGTTTTGAAACCAAATTTTAACCTGTCGATCAGTGAGATTCAACATCCGAGACAGCTGCAGCCTTTTCTCTTTGTTGATGTAGACGTTGAAGAAAAATTCCCTTTCCAGCTCTCTGATTTGGAATTTCGAGTAGGGACACCGCTTCTTCCTCGTGCGGGGGGCACCTTAAGGGGGAAAGAAAGCGAGAGAGAAAGAGAGAGAAAGAGAGAGAGAGAGAAATACCACCAGAAGGCAGGAAAGCAGATACACAAAGTACCCTGCAGAATCCTAACCTACCACCCCCCCCCGTCCACACACACACACACACACAAACGAGAGAGCTCACTTGCACGGGATTCCTTCCACCGTTCACACACAAGCACACGCTTCTGCCAACAAAAGCCCACGTCGTTTGCAACGTTCTGGCCAGGATGGGAAGCATATTACAACCATGTGGGCAATCTTTCCCGCTCGGTTTTTAAACCTAGGACAAGTTGCCACCCTGAGCTTGGCCCTCGGAATAAGAGCCAAGGATGACTTCCGGCGCCTGCAATAACTGCTGGGAAACAGACTTTTTTTTTTCTCTTTGGTCTTGCCCCGTTCAGCACCGGCACCGGCTCCGGGTGGAGCAGAAGTAGACCAGGCGCTCTGCTTATGCTTCTGGTTAACTGGAGTGCCACCCTCCGCGGATCCTCAACCCGCACGTTGTCACGCACAAAGAAAATCAAAGCCACGCATCTAAACCGAATCCCCACCCAAGAACAGGGCAGAAAGGAAACACTCCCCCCCCC